TTTAGTCTGGAGAAGAGGAGGCTCAGGGGAGGACCTTATCGCTCTCTACAACTACCTGAAAGGAAGTTGTAGGGAGATGGGGGTCGGTCTCTTCTCCCACATTATGAATGACAGGACGAGAGGGAATGGCCTCAAGTTGCGCCAGGGGAAATTCAGGTTAGATATCAGGAAGAATTCTTTACAGAGAGGGTTGTGAAGTATTGGAACAGGCTGCCCAGGGAGGTGGTGGAGTCCCCATCCCTGGAGGTGTTTAAAAACCGTGTAGCAACATGGTTTGGGGACTCTGACAGTGCAGGGTGAATGGTTGGACTCGATCTTGAAGGTCTCTTCCAACCAGATGATTCTATGATTCTATTTCCAGATAATTGTGCATTTCTGATTTTATTTCTTGAAATAAAAGAGAGAACCCATCTGCCACATCTGAAGTAGAAAAATATTTTTATTGTGGGTCTCTCAGCCAGTGAAATTGCCTAGCCTTGTTTAGAGGTGTCAGACGTGCACACTGCAGCTGAATTAACTGTACAAGTGCAGCCCCAATTCTACTGCAACTGTAGTTTCAAGCTGGGGACTCAGTGAAAGATGCTCTTTTTGGAGAACAGCATGGGGTTTTGATTAGAATGCATGAAGTTCTATTAACGAAGACAGGTTAAAGAAGGACAGAAGCACCTGAAGTAGCTATTCATTACAGATCCTGGCCAACACTGAGAAATTCTCTGGGTAAGTTTTACATACTCCTATTAGTAAGCTAGTGACCCTTAAGCAGCATTACATCAGTAGTCATACAAACAAATATACTGTGAAAACAATTTTAAAAGTCTACAGAAGAACGATCTAGGCATCTTAATCTGTTAATTCTACAGAATCTTACAAATTCTGTAACAAAGAGTACCAATAAATCCTCTTATGTAAAGAATTCAGTCTGCCACCCAATATTTCAACCCAGCTCTTAGGCACTCTGGTTCAGAGTCCCAAGTTAGCTTTAGGATAATTTATCCCCAAAACCTAGCAAATAGGTTTTTGCTCAATCACTACTGCAAAGAAGCAGCATCAATATTTGATTCCAACTCTCCACTGGCCTCACTGTTACACGTCGAAACAGCTGCAAATAGAAAACGCGTAAAGGAGTGGAAGAACTAAACTTCAGGTCATGTTACCTGCTGATGACTATGAAATCTTGAAGTACTTTTGTGGTGAAACTTTCCATGTCTTTGAATATAACTACAACTGGAGGAGACTGCCCGTGTCTGGAAGAGGAAGTTCTTTTTTTGCTTGGAGTTTCAGAATCTGTTTTCTTTAAAGCCATTTGTTATGCATTAATAAAGAGAAAACAGGAAAATAAAAAGATTGAATCACATCTACCATATTATAATGCTCCAAAGTGACGTGACTAACTTTTTGCTACAGTTGTTTTTATTATTAGCATCTACAGTTGCAATTTTTCTTCCTTCTGTTTGGCACAGCAGGAAGTACCAAGAATAAACAAATTTTAAAACGCCACATTCCAACAAAGACAAGAATAGCTCTGTGGGACAGAACTGCTGCAATTCTGTTGGGACTGAGGGAGAAGATTTGTGTTGCGTACACAGATCTCATCCATTTCCAGTATCTTTACCCAGTAATAAAACCAGCATGTATTCATTACACTTTTGTTTAACACGCTGCTCTGACAAAATCATCAAAAAATCAGATCTAACTTTTATTCATGACAGGAACAAAACTTAAAGCTTCATTAGCTTTATTAAATACAAAGATATAAAAACATTTTTAAAGTTATTTTCTCACTGCTTGTCAATGTAGCGCAGGCTGCAGACAATGTGATGTCACATTAGCACTTACAGGGAGCCTTTCCCCTGGGTGGGTCGTTGTTTGACACCGTTTAACCCCAGCTGGCAACCAGGCACCACACTGTTCTTTCTATAACTTTTATTTTAATAGACAAAACATCTCGGCACTCCTGGGAGAAAAGCGCCTGGTATAAAGTTGATACTGCACTTTAAGCTTCTAGTTCCCAATTAAACATATTATAAAATAGTACTTTTGGCTTGTTTTTCAGAATTCCAACATTCCTAATCAGGAACTAACTCCACATTTGTTATATATGTTACAGACTTATATCCAAATCACCTCAATCTCAGTTATTTCTTAGTATTAAACAAAAAGCTAACCTTTGGCATTTTTTCACTACGGAATAGAAGTTTGAGTTATTCAATTTCTTTCTTAGAAGCATATAAAAGGTCAGGCATTTTTATAAACTGGTGATACAAAAAAAAAAAAAAAAATCATACCTTTGTTACACTCTCGTACCAGGTGATAAGAGAAGTCATTGAACAACGTATTCTATTCTGGGAAACCTGCACATAGTCCTCGTCTTCCAGTGAGTCCACATCTATACGGCAGTTCATCAGCTGCCCCATCAGCTTCTGGATCAGATTTTTTATGCCTTCAGAAAACATTTTTAGACACACAGTAAAGACATTTGGTAACATTTCTCCAACTCATATTCTAAAAAAAATTACCCCAAATTGTCACTTATTTTTCACTTTTCTAATTATTCTCCTTCTCTCTCCAGAATGCACATCTCATGCTCCAGAAAGCTTGAAAGCATTCCTGACATGCATGTTTTAACGCAATAAAAATTATCCGATCAATTTGCCTAGATAGCAACAATCCAGTAAAGGTGCTGGCCCTGCATCTTTCCTGAACTCTGACCACACGCTATTAGAGTGACCTAAAAATAAACAGGGCACCCAATCCACAGATCTGAGGATACTGCCATAAATGGTTTCAATCTTTTTACTTAAAAAATGAAAAAGGAGCAAGGAGAATGTGACAAAATTCTACTCTACCCATTCTTTAACTGTAATAACATAGCTGTAAGCATTTAAAAAGCGGAATGCATACAGACACTTTCCAATCAAACAAGAGGAAAGTCAACCCACAATATCAACATGCAATACACTAAGCAGCATGTTCTTGACATTGATGCTACAACTAAGCAGTATTTCAATCTCTATTGTTTTAAACAGAACTGGATACCTCTTAAAATACAGTAGGCATTACTGCTATGTTAACATGGGATTGAGCAAATCTTTAGGTGGTCTTCAAGATCCCTCCATCCCATTATTCTTAGTTTGGGGGAAAAGCTAGAATTTCTAGTTAACTGACAGTCTATTCAGATGAAGAAGCAAAGCTACTGCAGTATTTACCCGGGCAATCTTTGGCTTCTAGTAAGGCTATATATGGAGTAATGTTATCCTGAAGGACTTCTGAGAGACTTTTAAAAGTCAAGTCATGATCCGTAACATTTACACCTAGAAGAAAGACAAATCTTTAAGGACATTTTTCTTGTGATTTGTGATCACAGTGATTGAATAATAAACTGAACAGCAGACAAAAAACAGAAGACACCTCAGTTATTCAAGGAAGGAATGGAAAGCATCACATCATGAGGAAAAGACGAAAAACTAGCACAAGATTACACAGACATGTTAATACTAGCAGATTAAACAGAAAAGGGAATCACTGCAAAGACTCCTCATGTAGTTTGGGCTGCCTTTTTTTAAAGAAAGATTTTGCAAGGGTGCAAACCTGAAAGGAGTAGGATTGGTTTTCTAACTTCCCTGCTACTCATACCCTCAGAAGCCATCCACAGCCACCTAAGGTCTGCAGACGAGATGAAATTCACCTTCCCTAGAAGAGGAGCAGTGCATACACCTGAGACTTGGATTCTCACATGGCTTATGTAAGGAGAAAAGTTACCATGAGTTAGTATGAACTACAGTCTGAATTTACTATGAACTACTCAATATTTACTGCCTTTGGTAATATCCTTAGCCAACGAAAAAAAAAAGAACAAGTCCCTCCAGAAGGCAATTCACAGCTTCTTACATAGAAATATTCAGAGCAGCAACTTCTCACTTTCTACTACCTACAAAAGTAGACTGACTTCCAGGCTTTGTCAGTGCTCACATGGTAAATTTGAAGCACAGGTCTGATTTTAGGGTCCTAAAATGCTCCACTGAAAATGCAATCAGGTTGCCTTGAACCAGGTTTAGGATTACAGTTACAGCCCTTTGAAAGAAAGTAGGGGGGAAAACAACAAAAAAAAAACTTCAGAACTTCACTAACTTCAGTAATAAGACCTTAATCTATTTTCTTCACTCTCTGCTCCTTTTCCAAGATAATGACACTGCTTTCCTACATGTAAAGATGCGCTGCAAGAACATATATCAGAAATAGATGCTGTGTAATTCCATGGTTAGTCACAGAAACCACCAAGGATGTTGGTGGCAGAAACAGGGACAGAATCAAAGCATCTGCAGTGCATCAGGGAAAAAAACCGCTGTATCACTACCAGCTGGCCAAGATGGACTTTTAGGGAAGGTGTTACTGCACTATTACGCATACAGACAAATGGGAAGGAGGTCTTATCCTGCTTCCTTCTCCCAGCCCAGTCTCTTCTGTAAACATTTCTGAAGCTGATACTGCTCATAGTAATTGCTGAAAGTCAGCAATATATTTTTCTTTGATCTCTACGTCAGTTTCAAGCAGATGTACATAACAAAATGTATCTTAAAAAAATTACCTAAGACAAGAGCTGCAGTAGGGATTTCTCTGGACTTCATCCGACAAGTCCATTCTGCTGTCTTCTCTTGGAAGTCAGAATGAGACCGCCTCAAGAAACTTACTAGGTTATCAAATAACTGCTTATTCAAGTCTTCCTGTATTTGCTGTAAACAAACACAGATTTTATTTATAAAAATGCGCAATCATCAGAATATCTTCCTTTTCCTACCCCTTTCCTGCATAATTTTTAATCCTTAAAACTGCACGGTAAAATTTTAAGTAACTCTAAGTTTTCCTGTGAACTATAAACATGCTAATTTATTCACTGTGTGGCAAACAGACATTTCCCATCTTGGAACTTCTGGTCAAATGCCTCAACAATAACTTGGAAAGTAAATGAGCTTTGAGCTTAACTGCATTGTCACACCACAAGCTTTAAAGAAGGAGAAAAAAACCCAAACATACTGCCAAAGTGTAAGTAACATAGGAGGAATAAAACAATATAATGACTTTCTGGAAGAATATTCATGAAAATTCCTATTATTCCCCCTTGGCATACAAAACACCTGTAGATGCTTTTCTGAGAAAACTGTACGAGAGCAAACATTCAGCTCCACCAAAGCTAATTCAGGATGAAAGAAAAAAATAAAGAAAAGCATTAAGTATAGTTTCTAGTAAAAAATACTAAACCACATGACTGCCACATTCGCTACACTATCTTTTGCCCTTCAGGATGATTTTCATACAAGAATATGTATATGCAGGAATATATTGAAAGGTGAGAGAAAGCAGAGTGAGATAAAACTTTTAAAGGCAGATACACAGCGGCAGCATTTTGTATTTCTTTTATTATGTATGTGCCTTTGAAAATCTGTCTCTAATTCAAGATATGCCTTCTGCTAGAACAGAACAACAACAAAAAAAGTACTCTGAAGTTCAGCATATCAATATATACTCTACAACACAGATGCTGGAAACAAGATTAAACATGTGCCCCAAATAAAATCATCAAGATTTATTAGCAATAAGAAGTGACACATACAGCAGCGAACTTGGATGTTAATCAAAGTGGCAAAGGCTGTCTCTAGCAGCACTGAAGAGGAGGAAGCTATGAAAGGAGTTAAGGCCACGTCTCCAGGAGACTGCAAATGATGCCTGCTCAAAAACCTGAGCTCCGTTTCCATTACAAAGAGTTCCTGTTGCTCTCCTGAACAACTGATAAAACCTTACACAAAGCAATCTTACTCTTTTCACCCTGTTCTCATTAAAACAATATTCTTCTGGCCTTTCTGGTGTTGATTGCATACCGCTGAGCTCCCAACTGATAAATTCTATGGCAACTCAGAAGAAGCTGTAACATGGCATTGTAAAAAGAAGACTTTATGCCATCAGCATTGTAACAGCTCCTGTATTACCATATGTGCCATAACAATCCTCTTGAGTTTCTGCTTCAGAATCCATCAGACCTTGAGCTTCTCCTGATCATTACTGTACTATCATTGTATATGGACCAGTTGGAGAGGGTCCAGAGGAGGACCACGAAGATGGTAAGAGGGCTGGAGCACCTTTCCTATGAGGACAGGCTGAAAGAGTTGGGGCTGTTCAGCCTGGAGAAGAGGAGGCTCCGGGGTGACCTTATAGCGGTCTTCCAGTACCTCAAGGGGGCCTACAAGAAAGATGGGGAGAGGCTGTTCAGGAGGGCCAGTTGTGATAGGACAAGGGGTAATGGTTTTAAAATAGAGGGAGGTAGATTCAGATTGGATATTAGGAAAAAATTTTTTACCATGAGAGTTGTAGAACACTGGAACAGGTTGCCCAGAGAGGTGGTGGATGCTCCATCCCTGGAGACGTTCAAGGTCAGGTTGGACGAGGCCCTGAGCAACCTGATCTAGTTGGAGATATCCCTGTTCCTTGCAGGGGGGTTGGACTAGATGACCTTTGAAGGTCCCTTCCAGCCCTAACCATTCTATGATTCTATGTTTTCACTAAGCTGCCCTAACAAGAACCTGAATCCTTCCTTTGCATGGTTACAGGATATATTATTTCTTCCAGTGTGCACTTGTGAAGATGGAATTCAGTCTGCCATACATGTTTACTTTGCTTTCCTAAAATCTATCACTCAAAACAACTTTGGTACTGTCACTATTTTGGTGGCATTCCAGAAAGTACACCAGGCTGCCCTGCATCTCAAGTGACCAACTCATTTACTTGCATGACATTGCTTATTCTGGAAAAGGCATATGAACTGGAAGTTCAATCCCTGCTATGACACCAGGTTTGGTCAGGGTTATCTGCTACTGGTCCGGAAACCATTATCTGCACCATTATCTGCACGTTAGAGGTAAAATTACCATATCACAGCCCTGCACTTAGGCTTTTTGTTTCTAACCTAGATCCTGGCAGTGCAACTGGAATTCCTCACCTTACAGGAAGGGAACGTTTCTGAAAGCCCTTGATGAGATGTATCATAGTAAGAACATTTGCAAAGCTATTGCTGACAGCAGGGGCCAAAACTGGGATACTTTGCAACTCAAAAAGGTCCAAAATTCACCTTCCCAAATCAAGGACATTTCCTGCAGCACTTTTGCCAGCTTTTCATGTTGAGAGAAGCCTGAAAGGATCTCATCACCAGAGCACAGATGGTCCTGCCACAATTGCAGCACAGTTTATCAGGGACATACAACGGCCAAGAATGCTCTGCAAGAGGTACTTGGAGGTCAAATCCTCTTCACTCTTCAACACCTCAAATAGATACCAAGAACTGGGAAAACACCAATACAAGCACCGCAGCAGTTCAGACTAGAGACTTTCTAAGGTCCCTTCCAACCTGAATTCTCACAATTTTATATGTAAGAAAAATTACCACCTCCAAGTTTGCCAACAGTGGGATAAAAGGATGGTGATTCAAAACTCAGTAGAAAAAATATCACAGATATCCCAGAAGCTGGATAAAGAAAATTCTATGTGGAGCAGCAAAAGTAACTGCAGGTAATCTGCCCTTGGGCAAATCAAACTCTAAGGCAAAGCCCATATCAATTTGGCAACGTAGGATGAACTGTCTTCCATCAGGAGGAGGAAAAAAAGAACAAAGTATCTGGCAAACTCCTAGTAGTCTCAAAGAAAACAAGGGTAGGAGATTTAGAACAGGAAAGAATGATGATTTTCCAGATGGCAATGACTCTGTGCTTCTGATCTGTTAAGAGAGGCATTTGCTATGATGGGCTGTGCCTGCTGCTCTGGGAGAAATGCTTGCAGAGCACTAGGAAAAAGAAAACAACACTTCTCCAATCTGAAAATCCTGCAGCCACTGTTGGCGATGTAGAAGCATTGTCTCAAAAGCCTTGACAACACTGTGCCAAAGAAAGAAGATCCAAGAAAAGGTCTTCCAGAAGCAGCTACAGAATGTCATTTTCCCTATAGTCCACTGTGTAGCTGACAAGGCAGTTTCTGGTGCAGCTGCCAATGTAATTGCCAACGCTGGTAGCTAAGCCATCAGCTGAAGCAGTTGGCAGGAAGATACCAAATACATCTCCACAAACTTCTGTGTGCTCTCTATAATCAGCACCATGATGTACCACATTGCTTTGCTCAGCCTGGTTAGTTTTAGTGTGAAAAGGGTGCTGACTAGCCAAAGCGAGCTGTATCATGGAATAGTAAGAACAGAATTAGAGGAATTTATGAGTTTAGCCCAAGGGTCCAGATTGAAAGCTACATCCAGCTGGCTTCTACTGTACATCCCAAAAGAAACTTTGGAAAAAAAATTCTCATAATGTCCAGAGCCCAGCAGCAGGCAGAGGAATATGGAACACTTGCCCAGAATACTGGGCTCTACACTGAGTAGAGGAGGAAATCCCCGCTGTACGGAAGCAATTATTCAAACTGTAATACAAGCCAGCTGGCTATAGGGACACAACCACAGCATGCCATCTAACACACAACTATTAGGAGGCCACAGTTCAGTATGAATTTAACTCACACCCCCACCAGACAACCCCAATGACACTGACCGTCCTAATTCGATAGACTATGTTTGCAGCTGCGTCATTCAGTATTTGACATCCACGCAGTTGTATTTACACAAATCCACTGTGAATCTTAGGCTGCTATGAACTCTGTAACACTGAAGTCAAGAGCAGCCTAAAATCCTCAGAGGGCTGGCAAGCACCTAGCTGAACTGAAGGTAGAGAACAGCAGTATACCAGGAATTAATTAGAAGGACAATTAGTAAGAAGACAAGCTTAGAAGCAGCAGCTTGAAGCATCAAAAGCACGTGTAGCTCTGTGGTTAGAAGGAACGTGCAATTGATGGATTTATTATTACTAATTTATATTCTAGACAGTGATTTCAGTCTCAGTCAATATTTCTGGCCCTTTTATTGCTTTAACTAATTGCCCTTTTAAGCATGCAAAAAAGAAGATCTCCAGAAACAAAGCAGCAAGCAGCACTGTTATAAACGCAGCACACTGCTTTAGTATTAGGTGCAAGACTCACCTCTGTTTCCGATTTTATCTGATTCCATAAAGACTGACAAGTGACAAACCGCAACTCGGCATCCTCTGAATCATCCTTTCTTTCTCTGAAATCATTAGCTAGAAAGACAGAAAGCCAAGGCAAGCACAAATGAGATTATTAAAGCAAAACATTTTTTTTATTGAGAAGAAAACGAAGCGTTCAACTGGAACAAGATCTTAATATATGTATACATCTGAGGGAGATGCCTTTTCTCTGAACCAATTAATTAACTGCTGGTATCTGGCAGTATAAGTGAGGTAACAAGCAGAATCTACTACCCTAGTACGCAGGCAAAAGGTACAGAACTGGCTTCCATCTCAAGTCCCAGAGGAGCTAAAGGCTAAATCAGAGCAAAGAGTCTTTATTATTAAAATAAAATAAAATAGAAAAAAAACTTTTCCTTGCTTCAGAAAGTTTTGTAGGTCTCTTTCACCTATTAAATACCAATCTTCCTTCACTATTACAGTGAGATATGAACCATAAATGCTTGCAAGAACAGACAAATTAAAATCCTTTCAGTTCCCCAGGGAAGATGCAGCTAACACCAATTTCCTGAAAATAATAAGGTATACTGGGAAAGGACTGTCAGGTTACACAAAAGACAGATTATTTTTTTAAATACATTTAACCAACATAACTATGCCAGCAAAACTTTTAAGCACAAACCAGGCCTACATTTCTAGCTAATCTCTAAATTGCCTCTCCCTTCTGTATATGCTTTTTATGAAAAAGAAAAGGAGAATCAGATCCTTTCTGGTAAAATAGTGTCTTGGCACATTTACTGAATACATCTGGCTTCCCAGGTGCTGCTCTGCCTCACAGATGTGAGTACAGAAACTCTCCACCAGCTTCCAGCTAAGAATGAAAAACAGAGCTGCAAGTAAAATAGGAGACTGAATAGAAACTAGTATAACCGAGTGAGATTTTTCTCACTGTTTTTCACCTCACATAGTCTACATTTCCCTCTAAAAAAAAAACCAAACCCAAAACCAACAAAGCACAGTCTTGGAATCATCCTACTCCCAGCATAAAAGGCTTCACTAATGCCACCTGGAAGAACACAAAGACTGCAGGTTAAGTAAACTGCCTGTTAACTGTTGCTACAAGGCGACATTAAACATAACAATTGACTTTTTCTAAAGGTATGCCCATTTGGTGGCCATTCAGTGGAGCATCACCAGTGGTCCATCTCTAGAAAAGAACCAGTTGATGAGAGCATTCAACATCTCAAAGCACTAAAACAACCCACAAAACCTTCATTTTTGTCGCCTCCCCTAAACTAACACCTCATCTGTATCCCTAAGAAGTTACTTAAAATACATAACTCACTCTGATTACACGGGTCTTAGGCTTTTAGATAAAGAAAATCCAGCCACCACATTACTGGTAACATACCAAGGCACAATATTCTTTTTATACTACCAAAACTCAAATTATAGGTGCAAACGTGCCCAGGCGGCCTTTCGAGGGCTGCAACAGTAGTACCAACTATCGATGCTCTGTAATTTCACAACTGAAACGTCACACTTGACAAGTTTGGGCTTCCAAACCGGACAGGTGCACATCAAAGTACTGGTTATTTAGAACACAATTCTAACCAATCGCTGGGAGCAGCCAGACTAGCTCACCTCTGCCTCTCTTTTAGGGGTAGTTCAGTCAAATTTATTTTTCTGTCTCAAAGCGTTTGCTAACTAGAACAACGTGTTGAGTAGGATTTATTCAAGCATTACTAATTTTGCAAAACCAAAAACATAATATCCAGTAAGGGGTAAAATTTCAACGTGGTTTAAGTGCATAGGTCTCGGTTGTTGGCTTATTTATCTTGCCATGACTTGGAATGACAGACTGGATTTTATTTTCCTGCCTCTCATTCCCTGAGCTACAGATGTGCCAACTCTTACAGAAAAAATAATTTAGGATTAATTTTAAAGCAGGTGTTACAGGAAGCCCCTCTGGAAATGAATGAGCCTGTGATGATTTCCACAAAAATCTGGCCTTATTACTTTCCCCTCCACTTTTTCTTATACAAATTTTCACACCTTTGACAGCTCTGGTGATGCCAAAAAAAGTTTAACCTGGGAAAACGAACAGGAAGTTTCCTCACTGAGTCTCAAACAACAACTATTTAAGCACCATAATTTGTGGCTCCAATGAGAGTCAGTCCTGTTCAGTCTTCCTCAAATGACAAGAGACCTGCACACACCCTATATAGGCTGGAGAAAACATACATAACAAGTACTAGTGGACAGAAGCCATGGGATCTTTGCAAATGGATTTTTTTTCTTCTTTTCCTCAAGGAACTTTGGCAAACTATCCAGAATACGATGAGACTTACGAATGGGATATAATTTCTGACTCCCGTAACTTAAAAGGGGTTCATTCAGACTCTTCAGATAAGTAGTTTCTCAGTCAGTAAACAATTTATGGTAGCATGGAAAGGAGTTTTCTTGTAAAAAAAACCCAAACGTGCAAAGACAAAGTTAGCTGTACAATCTTGATTGCTGGAGATATAAAATAACATCGACACCAGGGAGCAGCGGAAATCCTCATGCAGGTAGAACAGAACTCCACCAGATGCAGTGAACCTTCCAGGATTAACCCTTTCCAAGCATAGAAACATATATCAAAATGCACTAACCTGTTTTGTGAGACATCATTCTCTTCTTGGGACTTGGTTTAAAAACAAAACAGCCCTAAAGAATAGCAAAAAAATATAAACTTCAATATGAGCATCAGTCTGACCGGTTACCGAGGCCACTTTATTCTCCTTTAATTTCAGTGCTCCAGTAAACCAATAATTTGAACTGAATTGTCAGTATCTTAAGGACATCAATTTGCATTTATATTTCTGTTTTAAGCTGGAAAACTAGCAAAAGCAGTATCCCAGTATATTTAGGAGGAAGTTTTTAATCTTTCCATTATATTCTTCAATTCAACCACCAACTAGAACAGCAGCGGACTCTAAAGGTTTTGCAACCTCCAACAGGTTTAGAATTAAGAGGAAGTGATTCCCTGGGGACACATCAATAGAGTTTCCTCGGTATAGTTTCAGTTTAAAAAAAAAAAAGAGCGAGCTGGGATGCATAGAAAAGGTGATCCAGAATAATGCAGTGAGTATTATTAAGTCACTGACAAAAGCCGACGACAGCTTCGGCTGCAGAGGACAAGCGCATTCTAACTCTAAAAAGTAAAGATGGTTAGAAGCAGAATGACAAACGGTTTAGAAAAGGTTCAGCTAAATAAAAAACCCAGCTCCAAGAAAGTCCTCCAGATAAAAGTCATCTCCCACTTAGATCCGTTTCATCACAAAGGAGAAGGAAATAAAACACAAGTATTAAGCTTTGAATTCTTGAAGATTTTTTCCATTTTCCTCTAGAAAATCTGCAATTTTTTTCCTCCATCCTCTCAAATAAAAACTCATCTCTTTTGAAGAGTTACAATGATTTCCTATACATCAGAAATCATGTGCATTCCCCAACTCTCACCGTAAGGTTCCAGCGCTACAGTAAGAGGGAAGGAAACGAAGCATTCGAGACAAATAGAGTGATTCAATCCTGTATTTCTCAATGGAGATGTTTATTACAAGCAAGGATTACTGAACTCAGGATAGTTCAGCCACTAGCCTAAGAATGATCTAGTGAAAATAAAGCTCCAGAGGTATGTTCAATTTTGATCACAGGCACTAGTCAGTTGCGTGACTTTGGACATGTTATTTCCCTTCTGATACAAATAAGAAATTGCAGCAGAACAGTGATAACAATTATCGGCCTCCTCTAAAAAACAGCCTTAGGACCTGGAGATGCCTTCATATACTTTCCCTTTTGCCACATATACCAGCAATCATCTAAAACTGGCTGGACAAAAGCTGTGGTTATTCTACAGATTCTAAACACTGTGGAACAATTTCAATACAAAAAGCTGTGCTACATCCTCATTTATGCTGCAGTGCACACGACATGTCACAACAGTACTTCACAAGAGCACAACTGGAATCGGTCAAAATAACTATAAATTACATATTTAAAAGAAACAACGTATGCTTAAGTCAAATGAAACATAAACATTATTTAACGCTTTACAAGCATTGGGTTCCCCTACACCATTGAATGCAGCAGAGAGCTGACTATAAAACGGCAAAAAAGTATTATATGTAAGACACAGGAGGCAAGGGGCGGGGACACCTTTCGCTTCCTAACTACTTCAAGGCAACAGCCATTTTTGAAAGGGAAATCCACTTGTTTTGGATTAAGTTTTAACTTTGTTTGGAAGCACTTCCCTTTCCTCTTGAAATTAACAACCTGCACAGCGTCTTCCACACCTAAGGATCCTGCCGCACAGCACGATTCAGCGAAAAAGCAGCTCAGAAACATCACGATGACAACAGATATTTAACATTACGCGCCAGTGACAGCACTTTTCTTTTTATTTCTCCGTTAAA